CCATGACATGGAAAGGAAATTGAGCTAGTTAAGTTTTACTTCATTTTGTCAGGGCCTAGCATTCTATAAAAGGATATGGGTGCATGACTTTGTAATCAAAGCCAAAATTTGGCTAAGGAAGGTGGTGCCGAGATAAGTATTATTTTTAGGTGGTCAAGTTGAGATCAACAACTTAGTGCATAATTCTTATACACTAAGTTGTGGGGGGCATTTGTTTACCCATAAAAAATCAGGTTGTACCACATCGATTAATTACAAGGGGATTAATGGATTTATAAGGCCAGCTCAACATTAATGATAAAAGAGCCAGTTGGGCCTAGTTGGGTTGGATTTTTGGGCCTAAGTGGCCAAACCCCTTCTTCTCTATACGATGGCCGACCCGTCTCCGTGGCCTCCATAGCCAGACGATGCCTCCACCCCTTGGTATGAAATTTGACTAAGTATGGAGACCCAACCACAAGGGGGGTCATGCATGACCTCGTCCAAGGTGGTCTCGTCCAAGGGGGTCAAGCATGACATCATCCCAAGGGGGTCATGCATGACCTCGTCCGAGGTGGTCTCGTCCAAGGGGGTCAAGCATGATGTCATGCAAAGGGGCATCGTGCTAGACATGATGGGAAAGAAGGCGAAAATTGGCTAAGTGTTGAGACCCAACAACAGGGGGTCAAGCACGACATCATGCAAGGGGGGTCAAGCACGACATCATGCAAGGGGGGTCCTTGCACTAGGGTGTCAAGCATGATGTCGAGGTGAAAATTGGCTAAGTATGGAGATCTAACCACAACACCCTCCGAGGGGTGCCAAACGACCGGGTACCAAATAGGAGGCCATCCAAAAACTAAGTATGGAAAACAAGGTGACACAACGGGGTGCCAAACGACCGGGTACCAAGTAAGAGGGTCAACGACGGGGTACCAAGCCGGCAAGGCAGGCCTGGTGCTGAGACAAAATCGGCTAAGTATGGGGCAAGATGGTACCATGCCGGCAAGGCGGGCTTGGTACCAAGACATTGAATTTGGCTAAGTATAGAGCCAAAAGGGTATCAAGCCGAAAAGGCATGCTTGATACTAAAATACATGAAAATTGGTTAAGTATGGAATCACATGGCCATAGCAAGAGGGTACCAAGCCGGCAAGGCAGGGCTTGGTACCAAGACATGGAAAGCATGAATTTGGCTAAGTATGAAGCCAACGGGGTCGGCAAGACAGGCTTGGCAACCAAGCAAAGCGACAGCGTACCATGACCCCAAGGGGGTATCAAGCCGGTAAGACTAACTTGGTGGCCAGGCAACAGGGGGCCAAGACGAACTTGATAGCCAGACATCAGCGTATCAAGTCAACAAGACAAGAAATTCGACTAAGGCATGGTGGCTAGCTGAGGTGGCCACCCAACTAGGTACCAAACAGCCATGTATGGCCCTTGTGGGGCCATATGGAGATAAAGTCCCAAGACGGGCTTGGTAGCACCTTAACAGGGTACCAAGCCGGCAGCGTGTAACTTACCAACTTGATGAGGCTACAAAAAAGTATGGAGACCAAGCCACCAAGTTGATTACATGGGTTTGGTGGCATGCCAGAAGGTATCAAGCCGATGAGACGGCTTGGTAACAACCAACAAGTTAATGAGAAGGACTTGGTGTCATGAAGTGGTAGCGGACTCAGGAGCGGGGAGTCATCAAGCAGTCGAGGGTGAGATCAAGACCTCATCATGGTTCATGGAGGCTAAGGCAAGAGCATCAACCCCATCCAGTCATGACAAGGCGATAAGGATCAACAACAACCCGACCCGGCATCAAGGCCATCAAGTACCCACCAGCCCAAAACGGGACAAGGGCCCCCAAGGTGACGGTTACCGACTAGTCGCCAAGGCGGCGACAAAGACCCCGAGGCGGTTTGGAGCAACAAGCCAGCTAGCGGTTACAAAAGCAGTTACCAAGGCAGTTACACTCGATGTCTATAAATAGGAGAAACTAAAATTGTAAAAGGGTCCACAACCAACCATTTGACACACTATGTCAAACTTTTATATTTTCTCTGCAAATTAGCCCTAGCCTTAGTTTTCGGAGCTCTCACTGAACCTCCATAGGAGTAGGTGTAATTAACTTAGCTTGTTTCCAAAAAACCATCAAAAAAATCAAACACCCTCGTTCGAACATTGTTCGGAGAGGAGTGAACCGTGTTTAGAATCGTTGTTCAAAAAGTCAAGGTGCATTCATTGTGTTCAAACACCAGATTTTCTTCGCCGGAAAACAAGAGGATATGTAGTTTTGTGTTGAAGTTGCTGAAAGGATTCTTACCACGTCACTTGCTCGCTAGTCACGGGTACAATTTTGCTCGGTACCCCCTTTGCCTCCGTACACAAAGCTAAAATGATAGTCGAGTTTGTCAGATGCATCGCCAGCGAAGTAGCAATAACCGTCCCTTCTCTGAATGGACTGAGGAGGGTTTTTATATTGGGCTGAGTTATCCGCCACGAGTATTTGGCCCACGTAAGCAGATTTGAAATAGTCGCCATTTACGAAAGCGCCGGTTCCCATTGGAGGGGTTTGGTCCTCTGTGTCCGGCGTGTAAACTTCTCCTCCCCATCTTATCGTGTCCGCAGCGTATCCCATGACGTTGAATATCTCAGCTGGCCAGTATCCAATGGCTTGTTTCTCATCAATAATGAACAGGCTCAGCCACCAAGCCCTAGTTTCCACATCCTATAATTTAATTACCCAAAACTAGTCATTAATCTATTCATATGTGATGTAACAGCATCAATTTATACGCTTGCTTTGGAAAAAAAGCGACATAATTAATGTATTACCTGTTCTATGAAGTTATAGAGCTCATAGATGATTGCATCGGGACCTGAAGTGGAAGGTGTCAAGACACCATCTACCGGTACGTTTGCGTTGGTGTGGACAAATCCTTTACAGAAATAGTTGTTGAAGCAGCCCGGGAACCCAGGACGCCCAGTCTATTTTGTAATCAGGTGAACAACAAGCCACATTAGAATCATGATCAGACATCAGTGACTCACTCAGTTGTAAAATTTTGGGCGTCTTTTCATGAATATTAAGTGCCGTCGGGAAAACCACGTACATTGGAAACATCCATGCAGATACGTAGGTACGTACCTTGAAATATATGAAGGATCGAACACTATCATCACCGCGATATACTTTTGGGTTTACCTGGAGAAAACAAAAAAAAAAACAGCACCCTTTTGTATGGGAGATCGGTACCACCACCAGCACCATGATAGGAAATAATGACAGGGCAACGTTTGTTCCGTTGTTATTGTTTTGTAGTTTGAAATGTGGGATAACTCATTACCGTCCATCCAAATTGTATTTGATCTAGGAAACGCCCACCACCACTTTCGATTGACACCAAACCTGAGCTATATTTGTCCGAACTGGGGTCGATTTTAGGTTTGTGTATGCTCAAGGTACACCATGACCCATGATATTGTCCTTTTGTGGTATATATGCCTGCAAACTGATCGTATATAATAGGTAATGTCATAACAGAGTGGACAATGAATAACATGATCAAGATGTGTGCTAGTTGGCTAGTCCATATTGAGACATAACGTAATTATTATTTTGAGTAGAATAATACAAATGGCAAACAGGTTTAGTTTGAAAGTTTACACATTCTTGTATTACCAATGGTAGTTCAGAATGAGGTGACACACTACAGGAAAAAGGTCCTTTGATCACGGGGAATCCCGTGCTTAAAAGTATGTTTCCCGTGATTAATGACTTTAGTCACGGGAAATTTACCGTAATATAAAGCTCTGTGTCTAATTGTATACCGTGACTAGTTATAGTACCGTGACTAGTTAACTAGTCACAGTGAATTTTCCCATGATTATTTGTACCTATTAATCACGGGAGAACCGTGTTGAATGCCAAAGTTTGGAACACATGTACAAGAAAAAAAACATTTAAAGACGGGATCTACACCTTTTTAAACGGTATTTACCATGACAAAATGTAATCCCATGACTAAATGTCAATCACTAGTCACTGTATTTACTACCTATGGTCATTGTATTTTACCGTAACTAGTTACTAACCACTAATCATGATATAATTTCATGGTATTAAATTTTGAAACCTACATACGCACTGAAGACAATTTTAATCTCCCTATTACATTTATAATCGCAAGAGAAACCAAAATGATCATCAGCATTATAACACTACCAAAATAATGTACTCATGAATTTGATATTTTTACAATAGAACGGGTTTCAAATGTTTAAACTTATACTCCTATGATGTTACAATGCCTGCTATAACTAATTGCAATTTTCAAAATATCCTAACTAATCAAGCCGATGCCTTCCAAAACCAACTAAAAACAAATGAATTCGTTCAGTGTCATGTCGTGGCTCTTACATGCTGCTTCACATTGTCTGCCAAAAATCAAACACATAATTAGCTATGACAATTGCAATACAAAAGCACAGACAGAGCAATTGAGGTAAAACAATTCAAAAGAACCAAGTTTGTATGCAATTGAGGGAAAACATCCTAAAGAAAGTCTCTCAATTTAAGTTCAGAATCTAGACGCCCACTAGTAGAATCACTAAAGCATAGGAACAAGGTACATTGCTGAGGATCAAAACATAGAAAAGGATAGCCAAGGTACGTATTTACCTTGCATATTACCATTGGCGTCTCTTGGCTTTTCTTTCAAGCAATAAATAGTATCATTAAGCACAAGAACAAGGTACATCACTGACTTTTTCCCGCCTAGAAAAATACAAAAACCCAAATATCAAATCTAAATAAAAGAACACACAATGAATTGGGCATACACTAATTGGCTAGCTAATAATAAAAGCATCTACCTCATTGAATCATTTTAAAATGAAGTGAAATGAATAATCACTCACTGGAAGATTGATTACAAGAAGAAATCCAGCGATAGGGGTAACACTAGTTTTCTGCAGACTTCTATAGTTCTACAGAAGCAAGGACAGGGCAGAAACAAGATAGCATTCAGGTGTGGTAATAAGAATTCAACTAAAGCAATGGAAAGTAATAGACTTCAAAACCCAGACATCCATTATATGAAACAGAGGCAGGGCCAGGCAGCCAAAGCAATGAAAACTCTTAACTTAGTGAAGAAACTGTCGTTGCACTTACCCAGAACTGTTGCTTCCATCTCTGTCAACTCAAAAATGAAAATAGTGCAGGAAAAGCTGCTTCTTCCTATGAAAGTGCATCCAGAAGATCACCCCTGCCCCTCCCTTTTTATTTTCAACGAGACAAAAAAAAAGTGTTGAGAGGATTAGAAACTATGAATCAAAAAAGCAAAATAAATGGAAGGACAGAGGTGGGAATACCATTCCTGAAATGATATGAGTTACCTTCTCCTCAAGTATGCAGACCTCTATGGAAGAGAAATTCATCAATCAGTATGATTCACCCCAGAATAAGCTGCAAGCATGGGCACAGTCAAACACAAGTGCAATACAGGGGCACAAACTTCAGTTCGTGCAATTTCCCAAAACCCCCAATTGACCCGAAACAGAACCCTAATTTTCCTAGTTACGAATTCAACAATCAATCAAACATAGAAGTCGAATTTGAGTATCCTAAATTGTTATTATTCATTGTAAGGGATGTTCAATTGGAGTCTCCCTGCAATTTGGTGAGTTACAAACCCTAAATTCACCACAAAGCTAACTTTTCAACCCCACATCCGCAATTAAAGAATGAAATCGAGACGCAACAGAATGAGAAAAGGGAGTGAAAACCAAACCTTGAGAGCCCAGCGAGATGAAGGGACCAAGAATGGAAGATGCGATGAGAAGTAAGAAAGATGGTCGGATCTCGGATCTGCTTTGACGAAGGTCTCTGGCGGCCAAATCTGATTCTGTGGATGGGAGTCTAGAAAGCACCACCGGATCAACTCCATTCCTTCTTCCTTTCCTGGTAGGCCTCGAAGTTGGAAATAGTTGTTTCTTTTTCCGGCTTTCTTCCGGCCAGTAACGCATTTTTCTTGTGGGAAAGCTCGGAGAGCACCAAGCTTGGAGGCTGACCGGGGGGCCTCCTCTTCCGCAGATGTGGGGTTGAAAAGTTAGCTTTCTCGGCTCCTCTTTCACTCTCCTCTATTTTTTCTCTCTCATTGAGTCATTGTCTCAGAATTCTAGCGAAGGTAGTGTGGCTGTGTGGGTTAGTTTAGGGATAAGGTGTGCTTTGCAGCACTTTCAATTGTTTTCAAGTCATGCATTTTTGGAGGCAAAATTTAGGATTGTGGAGCCAAAAAAATTTGCAGTCAAAATTTGGAATTGTGGAGCGGGAAAACATGGCAGGATAGCCGAATTGTTCTGCAAGAACTTTTGATTCGCAATATTAATAGAGTCTCAATTCATAAAGAATTATTGAGTTGTGTTATTAAAAAGGAAGAGCAAATTAAATTGAACATTTAATTCCTTTTTTTAGATTAATTAGGGAGCTGGATTATATTGTCTTGTTTTGTGAAATTCATGTGTTTTTAGGATCCGCTGTCACAAAGTGTTACGTGGAGCTGAGGTTTCTGGGTAATAAAAAAATTATGTATTTCTTTTTTTATTTTTATGTAAATTTTCAAAATTAAATTGTCAAATTGTTCACAGTAATTAACCGTGACTAACAATTAATCACGGGAAATGAAGACTATAAAACATGTAAATTAATTCCGTGATTAGAACTATACAATCAATTACGGGATATTTTACTGTGACCATTAGTATACTTCTCGATACGGGAAAAATTCCCGTGAATAAGATCCCGTGATCAAAAACCAGTTTTCCTGTAGTGACAATTCTCAATCTAATCTACTAATCCATTAACAATATCCACATAATCCAATTCATTTAAATTCAATCCATTTGATCCAAATTCAATTGAATAGGTGGATTCATGGATTGAGATGGAATCGTCCCCCTCCTCCTCGTTGACCGGCGACTCCTTTGCGTCTTTCTCTGCTATGGGCCAACGACCCGAAGGTTCGCCCGTTTCCGACGTCGCCTTGGCCTCCGCGACGACTGACGACGCTGCTGGAGTTGTCGTCATTTGGACAACCTGAGGCGCAGCGCCGACCTAGTGCTCCGTATGAGATTTCTTAGTCTGGATGTATTTGGAATGAAACCCGCAGGAATCATTGAGGCTCGAGGCCTTGTTTATATATCAACACCCAACACCTTCTGAAGGAAGGCAAGGGAAAGTTACCTATGTACAGCTGTTCTAACGGTAATAAACGAAATTACAAACCAGCTACCAACTACGTATTGACAGGTGTAACTAGAACAGTAAAAACGGAACTCTGTCAACACTAACAAAGACGACGACGTTCTGTCCCAGCTCTTCAACTGCTTCCGGGTGAGAATACGACGTCGCCCAGGAGGCTCATTAGTGCTGAACAATCGATGTGGTATGTTCCTCCATTCAATACCTTCAATACCCTCCCTCAAGCTGGCGCATACAAGTTTTGTATGCTCAGCTTGGAAAGCAAGTACTGCAACCTGAATCTGCTGAGCCCCTTGGTGAAGAGATCTGCAATCTAGTTTTCTGTTTCCAAGTGACTCAATCCTATGATCTTTGACTGGAGGAACTGTCGAACCACATGACAGTCGATCTCAATGTGCTTTGTTCTCTCATGGAACACAGGATTTTCAGCTATATACATTGCAGATCGACTGTCACAGAAAAGGTTTACAGGCTTTTGATGTTCAATTCCAAGCTCCTGTAACAGCCTTTTCACCCAAACAACTTCACATGTCAACTGAGCAACAGCCCTATACTCAGCTTCAGATGATGACCTGGATACTGTCCCTTGTTTCTTGGATTTCCAAATGATCAATGAAGGTCCAAGGGTAATGCAGTATCCAGTTGTGGACCTCCTTGTATCAGGGCAGGAGGCCCAGTCTGAGTCACTATATCCCCTCAGGGTAAGATCAGAAGAAGCAGAATAGAACAAACCTTGTCCAGGAGCATTCTTCTAATACTTCAGAATTCTATAAGCTAGCTGCAAATGTGTGGTGGTTGGAGCTGCTTGGTATTGACACAATTGCTGAACTGCAAATGTGATCTCTGGTCTGGTAATGGTTAAATAATGGAGTCTCCCCACTATTCTTCTGTAGAGTCCAGGGTCATCCAAAAGAGGGCCATCATCTGCAGACAATCTTGTCTTCATGTCAATAGGAGTCACCACAGGTTTGGAGTCAGCAAACCCTGTTTCAGTCAATAGGTCTGTGCAGTATTTCCTTTGACATATGTGTAGTCCCTCCCTGGATCTGGCCATCTCTAAACCAAGGAAGTAATGTAGATGGCCAAGATCCCTTAGTGTAAATTGATTGCTGAGATGATGTTTGAGAGCTTGCATACCAGGAATGTCATCACCTGCAATGATGATGTCATCCACATAGACCAGAAGAATGGATGTGCCAGAAGAAGAATGATGTAGAAACATGGAATGATCACTATGAGACTGTGTGTATCCAAATGAGAGAAGAACAGAGGTTAGTTTAGCAAACCACTGTCTAGAGGCTTGCTTTAGGCCATAGAGAGACTTCCTAAGTTTGCAAACATAACCCTCTTTGACCATGCCAGGAGGGAGTTCCATGTATACTTCTTCCTCCATATCTCCATTTAAGAAGGCATTACTAACATCAAGTTGGTACATAGTCCATCCTTTAGATGCTGCTACTGCAAGAAGTGTCTTGACTGAATTGAGTTTGGCAACTGGAGAGTAAGTATCTAGGAAATCAATCCCATAAATTTGAGTAAACCCTTTGGCTACCAGTCTAGCCTTGTGTCTTTCAAGTGTGCCATCAGCCAAGAACTTAATAGCATATACCCACCTATTGCCAATTACTTTCTTATGAAGGGGTCTGGGAACTATATCCCAGGTTCTGTTTGCTTCTTGAGCTGATATTTCCACATTCATGGCCCTCCTCCAGTGTTCCTCTCTAACTGCTTCTTCAAATGAGGAAGGAATGATGGATGAATCCACTGCCATTACATATTTCCTGTAACTATGAGATAACTGATCATATGACAAATTAGCAACCAAAGGATAAATTGATTTAGTGTGTGTGGTTCCTAAATGCATCACATAATCATTGTATTTGACTGGTTTGGAAATATGTCTGGTTGGTTTTCTGACTGCTATAGGAAGGGATGCAGGTTGTGGTGAAACAGGTATGGAAGAAGCAGATGGTTGAGGAGATGTATTGGGAGAAGGTAAAGGTGAAGGGTTTGGAGAGGATTGAGGAGGCAAAGGAGATGATGGTTCTGCTTGAGCAGTGTTAGAAGGTACAGTAGGTGAAAAAGGAAATGGATCTGGGGAAAAGGGAAAGATGGAAATGTATTTGTAGGAGGGGAAATAGAAGAAGGTTCAGAAGGCTGAATGGATATGGGAGAAGTAGACAAACAAGGTATGATATCCTCATGGAAGACCACATCTCTAGAGATTATAACTTTCTGGTCTTGAAGATCCAGGAGTTTATATCCCTTAATTCCAGAAGGAAAGCCCAGAAAAACACACTGTTTGGCTCTTGGGAGAAATTTGGTTCGATTGTGTCCTGATGTACTGGCATAACACAAGCATCCAAAAACCTTTAACAAGGACAAGTCTGGTGGAGTTCCATAGAGGATTTCATATGGTGTTTTGTTGTCAATAGCAATGGAAGGAAGTCTGTTTATCAAGTAAACAGCATGAAGAACAAAATCTGACCAAAATTTCAAGGGGAGACCAGATTGGAATTTGAGGGATCGAGCAACATTCAATATATGTTGATGCTTTCTCTCTACTCTAGCATTCTGTTGAGGTGTCTCTACACAAGACATTTGGTGAACTATGCCATGTAGAGAGTAAAACTCTGGCATGTGGAACTCAGCTCCTTGATCAGACCTAATGGTTTTGATCTTTTTATCAAACTGTGTATGGATCATGACACAAAAATCCTGTAACAGTTTTCTAGCTTCACTCTTAAATTTCATCATGTATGTCCATACACATCTAGATTTGTCATCCACAATAGTAAGGAAGTAATGGAAACCATTGTAACTTGAAACAGCCAAAGGGCCCCAAATGTCTACATGGATAAGATCAAAAACTTCATTTGCAATGGACTGACTCAAAGGAAAGGAAAGACGTTTCTGTTTAGACATATGACAGACATCACAGTGATGTATGGACTCGATATCTATACTAGGGATAACTTTCTTCAGCTCCTTAGCTCTAACATCAGAAGGATGCCCCAATCGCCAATGCCAAATATCAAAAGACTGGGGTGTGAGATTGTGTGTCTTGAGGGAGTTAATTTGTATGGAATGGTCTTCTGTGGTAGGAACAAGTTTGTATAATCCTCTAGTCTCTTGGGCAAAACCAATCATCCTCTTGGTTAGAAGGTCCTGGATAGAGCAAATGGTTGATTTAAAAGTGAGTGAAATGGGCAAGGATTGTGTGAGTTTGCTCACTGAAACAAGGTTAAAGGAAAAGGTTGGGACAAATAAAACATCATGAATGACTAGATGAGGAGATAAACGAACACTACCAGAGAAGGTTGCAGGTGTTTTTGAACCATTTGGTAGAGTCACAAAGACATTCATGATAGGTTTATGTTTAATGAAATTGGAAACAGAACATGTCACATGATCAGTTGCACCTGTATCTAAGAACCACACACTAACCAATTCCAATGGATGCTGTTGTACATATGAGGTCAGAGTGTATTTACCTGCATAGTTAGGGCTCACTGATATGTGCCTGCTCACAGAATTCACCATGGGTTGCTGAGTTTGCTGTCCATTCTGATTAGTACCAGGAGATCCAGGTGACGTGGGAGAGCTAGGAGATCCAAACTGTGACAAAATCCTCTGCAGTCTACTGATATCCTCATTAGAGAGCCTCAGGTTTGTGAAACCATCACCAGACTCAGTCACTGATCTAGTCTCTGGCTTTGGCAAAATTCCCCCTCCAACATTGTCTATGCTTTGAACTTGTCCTGCAAATGGTGAAGGAGATCCAGAATCTTTGTTTTTCCTTTTGAGTCTGTAACAGTCAGCAATGACATGGTTATCCTTCTTGCAATATCTGCAGAAAAGAGGACCTTGTCCCTGTCCTCCTCTGGTATTCTCCTTCCCCTTTCCTTGACTAGCAGCAAGTAAAGCAACAGTGTCAACCTGTGATTCTTGACTAGGTTTAGCC